TTCCTTTTCCTGGTTGTGTTTCCCCGCCTTGTGTATATAAGTTGTTGTTTGTGTAAAATAAAGTGAGTTAACTTCCTGTTTTAAGAAGAACTGGGTGCTGTCTCTATTTTCCTGCATGGTCAGAGAGCGGGTGGTGTGTTCCGAGGATGGTGTTCGGACAGGGAAGTGGAGCTTAACGGCAAAATTCAGTACGGTCTGGGTTCCAGTTCTGTTACAAAGCTGTCTGGAAAATTCACAGCAAGAATCCAGGGTATCAGTGCATAAGCAAATAGATGAAAGGAGACATACTGTATAGCCAAAACTACTTTGGCTATACTTCTTCTGTAGGTCACAGGAGTTCAGCATGTTCAGCATTCCTGTGACCCGTTTTCAGTCGATAGCAGACTAAAGCCTGCTGTTGGCAGACATCACAAAAGCAGTCAATGCTCTGCAAAGATCCCAACTTGGGATCAACCCAGATGCCTGTACCAGCACTTGAGCCTGAGCCAACCCTGTCCACACCCTCCGCAGCCCAGTGCTCCAGTGAGCGCTGGAGAGGCAGAGCAGAGAGCCAGTGACTGACAGTCACAGCTCTCTGCTTAGATTGGAGGGGAGAACTGAGTGCTCAGTGGTGTTTGATCACTCAGTTCTCAGTCTTGCCAGTCAGATTGATGCTGCATCTACCTAGGTGAGTATAAATGTTTGAAGTCCATACTTCTCTTTCAACCTGTTGATCGGGCACAGGTACCCAGCAGTCTTCTTAAGGCTAGGTTCACATCTATGCAGGTTGCGTTTGAGCTGTTTCTGCATTGCGTTTTTGCACTTGCGTTTTTGATGCGTTATGTTTTTTTTTTTCATTTTTTTTTCTGCAAAATGCATAAAAAATGAGGCACAAAAACACAGCAAAAAAATGCAATACATGCTTTTCTACATCGTTTCCACTGAAGTCTATAGAACCAAAAATGCAGCTTTTGGTGTTAAAAAAAAGTCCTTGACCCTTTTCAAAAAATGCACCTGGTGAAAATGCACAGCTGTAAACATGTCCCATAGGAAATCATGTTAAATGGACTGTACTGTGTTTCTGAAAAATGCTGCAGAAAACGGTTAGTTGTGAACCTAGGGTAAGTGCTCCCTTACTGATTAGGGCAGGTGTATGCTGCAGAGACCTATTAGCAGTACTGAGTAAGAGCCAGCAAGTGGTGAAGGCTCAAGACTACTTGTCAAACCAAACATTAGATATATTTTTTCAGATTTAAGTGTTTGCATGTTAAAAGGTTTTTTTGGCAATTTTTTTTTCTGTGGATCATGGTAGTACATGGAGTCAGCTTATAGCAAGCTAATACCTGATGTTAACTGATGGGGCAGAACCCTGCCAGCCTTGGGTAGGATCCCACCAATATTATCAGGATCCATCCCACTACCTGATTGAAAGCTGGCTCCCTTTCAGCATGTGGCTGAAATGTGAAGCAGAAAGTAATGTTCAATCCAGGGGGTCCAGACTCATAAAAATTTGCACATCTTATTATTACGAACTGGTGAAATCTTTTTATTTGAGGGATACCATGGCATTTTATTTTTCATTCATAGGGTGGAGGACCTCCCAGCTTTAGCCAAGACATGTTTGCCTCTGTGAAAGGAAAGGCAGGGAAGTGGAATTAAGCACTGGTACAATGCTTGGGCTTTAAATTTCATAGGGCTGATTTGGGGATTTTGGGGATGCCACTGCCAGAAGTGTGTAAACAATTTGGGATACCTAATTCCAAAACCTACTAATGCAAGCGCATGTCCACCAAATATACACTGATCAGCCATAACATTAAGATGATAGGTAAAGTGAAAAACATTGAATATCTCATTACAATGGCATCTGAAAGTTGATGAGATATAACAGGCAGCAAGCAAACATGTTGTCCATGAAGTTGATTTGTTGAAAGCAGAAAAAATGGGCAACAGAGTTTGTTGTGTATGGGGCTGAGTAGTCACCTACAATGGGCATATGAATATCAGAACTGGACCAGAGAGCAATGGAAAAAGATCTACAAGATCTGCCTCCAGTCCCCCTGATCTATAGTTCCATCATTGGCCTATCCCTAGTTCTCTACATATTGCAGAGACTTAGGGCCTGACCTTCTAACACAAAGTTATAGATGTTCGATATACTGTAATACCTGAAGTAGTCAGGTTTTAGGCATATACGTTCAAATGATGTCAAGATCTGTAGAATCTGGACAATCTTTTAATGGTACATGTAAAATGCTGCAGAATGAACAATGTTTGAAATATACCCTCATTTGGTATAATCAGAAAATGGGGGATACTGATAAATGATATTGATAAATGGAGGATAGTGCACACTGGCATGTTAAGAGTGTGAAGTACACTCAAACTTTTAAAACCTTTTAACAACTGCAAAATAAATATGACCTACTTAACAGATTCTTCTATAAGTATCTACAACTGTGCCATGTAGTTATGTTGCAACAAAAATGAACACCGCTACATGTGGTGTCATCCCCACCTATGACCATTATTGATCAGGCAAGGGTTAATAGAGGCCTCATATCCTCACTATAACTTCACCTGCTGTATATCCAAGCACAAGTTTAAGTGCACCTCCAGATGAGAAAGACATTAATGACCTGACTGGTGATCAATGTTTGGTGAAACCAGGGGCGGACTGACCATTCGAGCACTCGGGCACTGCCCAAGGGCCCAGGGTCAGTAGGGGGCCCCATGAAATGCCCCTGATACCTTTTTATAGGCTTTTTGGGTGTGCTTTGAGTGTGGGCAAGGACACAGGGGCTCCATGATCCCCTATTGCCCGGGGGCCCCATGAGTTGTCAGTCCGCCCCTGGGTGAAACTTTCATCTGTTCTGTTGGTCTCCTCATCAGCCTCACAAAGGGTGTTTCAGTTGTTTAAACTCACATGACATATAGAACTCCCACACATCTCTTTAAAGTAGGGTGTAGGGATTCCCCACTCTGTCATAAATGTCAGCGTTCCCACAAAGACCTTATCCAAATGCTTTGGAGATGCTCCAAATTACACAGGTTCTGGCAGGATATAACAGATTCCATCAGTAGAATTTTTGGTCAGAATTTTCTATGAAAACCCAAGACATATCCTCCTAATCTCATAGTGAATGTAGAGGATAACAATATTTTCCTCACTTTGATTTTTTTAATGAAATGGACATCTCCATCTCCACCAACATTATCTCAATGGATTCAGTCAGGTATAACACTACAGTTGAAAAAATTACAAACATAGAGGGACTCCAGAGTGATTTTGTAAGCTCTGGCAGCCAAAGCTGGATGCCCCAGGAGTTTCTCCACCCTTATAATGTTGCATAGACTGACTGGAAGATGATTGTACTTATATATCTGATTTTCTCTATTCGCTTCTTACAAGTGTCATGTATCCATGTCAAGCTAATTTCTTTAGCATTTAATAAGGTAAGGAATGGGTGTGTGAATCTAAGACCAACTAGGTTACCAATTTGTGCTTAGGGGTAATTGTGACCATTCCCTAGCTCTTCCATTTTAATTACAGCTAAGACATGGAGACCAGTTGACAGTAATGTTTTTGTTATAGAATTTACTATGATTCTTTGGTATTCTGGTAATATTCAGTGGGCAAATAAAGCTAAAGACAAAGCCTAAAATGCAAGTGCAGTGCAAAGTGAATATATTATTGTTAGGTGTATTGAAAACTTATTTTGCATATTACACCCTTGGAAGAGTCTATAATTTTGTTATAACCCCCCCCCCCTTTTTTTAATTAGTAGATTTTATTGTATATAAAACTGAATGGCACATGTCTTCTTTTCAATATATCTGCTAAAGAAAAAAAAATCAATAACAATTCATAATTAAAGTTGCATACCAGTCATAACTTAACTAACTCTAAACCTGATCCCAGCCCCATCGTAAAGCTATTCTATCTAACCTTGTTATTCTGACTCTGACTGTTGTATTAGTTATTTAACCCCTTGCAGAGACCTCTATACCTGTCCTGTATAAGCAGATACAATCACTGCGGACACTCTTTATCAGATAGGTGAAAACACCTTTTTCTCATCCAAAGAGATCTTTATTGAATGCAGCGGGTACAGACAACAAGATATAGCAGATGACTGAAAAGACGGGATTTGCAGGTTAAAACATGGTAATGTGTTCCCAGATGCGAGAAGATTACATATGGCCTTATTCATCCCAATAAAGAGTGAAATGAAAGCGGAAGTACATCACAAGTGGGAGGGGACACAGAAAAGAAGACAGAAAAAGATGGTGTAATAACCAAAATATCCACAAGATGGCAGTATCTTAACTAATTATACTGAGGTCAATAAACAGTGGCTAAGAAAATTAAAATGGAGCTCCACCCAAAAGGGGAAGTTCCGCATTTAAGCCTTTGTCCCCCGCTCCCCATTAAGGATTGGCACCTTTGGGGAGCGGGGAGGGGAGGGAGTACCAAAATTTGACAGGTACTAGCTCCCACTTCTTCTGTGATCGTCTAGGAAGTGGAAGTTGTCCTCCCCTCCTCCCTCCCTGTAGTCTTCTGGGACACATGACAGGTGAGTGGCTGTATTTTAAGAGTCAGCAGCTACAGTTTTTGTAGCTGCTGACTTTTATTTTTTTTTTCAGGTGGAACTCTGCTTTAAATATAAAAATCCTCAATTCACAGTAATATGAACATTAACCATGCTTATATATTGTATTATATTTTCACACAATAAGTGTAACAGCACACCTCTAAAGAAAAGATTGGTATACTTACCTATTCGAAAGCAGCTCCGGTCCAGTCTTTTCTGTGTAGAGAGAGAAAGCTGACAACGGCTGGGAAATGATTAGGAGCCTGGGACTGGATGGGAGCAGCTTCAGAATAGGTAACTATAGCGATCTCTTCTTTACAGGGTTATAGAATAGCTACACAAATAGAAAAATGGCTTATTGTGGTGCAAGCTAAACAAGTAACAATGGTAGTGATAAATCCAGGGGTGGACTGACAACTCATGGGGCCCCCGGGCAATAAGGGATCATGGGGCCCCTGTGTCCTTGCCCAAACTCAAAAAAGCCTATGAAAAAGGTACCAGGGGCATCTCATGGGGCCCCCTACTGACCCCGGGCCCTCGGGCAGTGCCCAAGTTTCCAAATGGTCAGTCCGCCCCTGGATAAATCACACACGTTTGGAGCTTTTCAAAGTCATGCATTCTTAATTGTGAAAATATGCTCCTAATGTAGCTTACACCATAATGCACCATGTTGTCCATTTGTGTAATGACTAACTTAAACCATTGACAATTAATCATCAATCTATAACCCCAAAAGTAAACAGGAGGGTTTCTGTGTCTATTGAGGACTATGTTGTCTGTTGCAGACTGGGTCAAAATTAGACACACCCATCAATGGTAATCAGTATAGCTCCTGGAATTTGAATGATTGGAAATTTCTAAACTCCAATTTGATGTCTTTGATGTCAATTATGATAAAAGTTGGCCAGTAAGGTTTATCATGGTTGATGTTCTCCTTTATGTTGAAATCCCTTCTATCCCCATAAATAATGATCATCTGTTAGTTCTCCCCAATGACTCGAAGAACATCTCCTCTTACTGTACGCTCCTTTGGTTGTTTTCTTTGCTAGAGATGGCACCATGAAAAGGCCAGCGGAGCAGTACAGTCAGTGGTGTGCATTACATACAATGTGAACTATGCAGAGAAAGGGCTCATTGTAACCCAAATCCTGCAGTTCAGTGAATAGCTGAAATATGTTTGGATTAACATACAGCAGAGGTACGGTTACCAGATGGCTCCAGGTCATTAAGGAAACACAACGCTAATGGCTTTATAAGCCCGCTACACTAGAAATTCTTAAAGCTGCCCTGCAAATATGGGTACAAAATTAAAAATTGCAGTAGGTATGTACGCGCATCAAGATGCCATACTGATTCTTTTGGATGTATGCAACTTTGCTATGTTACATTGTCCTAGTTTATTACCAAAGTCCCATAAAAGATCAGTTCATCAGAGAGCTATGAATTTTGTTCACTAAAAATATATATAGATAAAAAGAAATTCTTTATTCAGGAAAAAATAAGCCAGGATATATGTAGAAGTTGTATTATGTGACAATGGCCATAGAAGGAAATGTGTACTTATAGAAATATATATGCTTCCATTGTTGACCTCCCAAAAGGGCAAGCTGCTTGGCTATCTTGTGATTTGACTTCTATATTTTTAGTTGCTGGCTGGGCCGTGGTTTATGTTTAGATCTGTAGAGCAGCATTTCTCAACCTTTTCTCAGTCACGGCACCCTGAGCTTGGGACAATGCACACAACCACCATAATGAGATTAACTTATATAAAATGCCCCCCACACATTAGAGGTCCCCCCATCACATCAGTGCCCACCTTCACATCAGAATGCCCCCATCACATCAGAGGACCCCAGTCAAATCAGAGGTTCCCCTTCATGTCAGAGGTCCCCCCCCCATCACATCAGAGTTCCCCTTCCATATCAGTATCACCCTTTCACTTCAGAGCCCCCAATCACATCATGAGTCCTCTCTTTACAGTGGAGTCCCCCACCACATCAGAGCCTACCTGTCACCACAGTGTGCCCCCCCTCAAGAAAAGTCCCCAGATCATACAGTCCCCTTTTTTCATAAGGTGGAGGAGGTCTGGTGGAGGTGAACTTCTGTTTTCACCTGAATGCTGAGGTCGGTCCTGCATGCTGCCTGCCCTGGATCATAATCATGTTTTGCCATGATGGGGACGGTTGCTATCACCATGGTATTGGATGACACTGTGCGTCCTGACCCTGGAGTGTCATTGGTTGTTATATTGCTAGTGACCCAAACACAACATGGCAACTCATGACACTGATCCAGGGCAAACTGCGTCCTGTGTTCCTTTCCTTTAATTTCACATGGTGTACCTGGTAACACACTTCCTGTCCTAAGGTGATAACATTTACGCCATACTGTATTATGGAGGAGCAGTGTTGTCACTACAGGCTGCCTCCTAGTTTGGACTACAAACATCCCCTCTTCCATATTACTATAACATTGGGGAAGGTATTCTGTAATTCACAGAAAAGAACTGTGAAGGCTGATAACACTATCTGACATTTCAGTTCAGTGCACAGGAAGCTACAAAGACACTGAATTTCTGGCAGGATGAACAGGTATTTTTCTGTACTTGCAGAAAATGTACTTCACCTGAAAAAAATAAAATGAATGTAACAGTATATCAAAGGACTAGTAGGCTGCAATATATTACATCTTTGGTCTTGGGTTTGAATAGCATTTGACTTGAGTTCCGAGTCTTGCAATCCACTCTAACACAAACACACAAAGTTGGAGAGATGGGGTAGTTCTTGAGGCCAATCAGCTGTCTTGCATTTTTCACAAATTTACAAGAAACATGTTGACGAGAGGAGAGAGATGACCTCATTAAGGGAATGACCAGTCCCAGGCAGGGGACAGGATAATGATTTAGCTTTGTTGCTTTAAGTATCTGTAAAGTTATATCATACCAAATGAATCAATGCAAATCAATGCACGTCGTCAAACCAGCTGTTCTCAACTAAGGTTCATCCAGAGTTTTCTAGGGGTTCCTTGAGCTGTGGCTAATTGACCTTTTATCTGGTGGTGCCTGCATAGTTTCAAGTCCATTGCCACTTGGCAGAGCTGATAGCATGACACCTATGATCTTTCTAACTTGCTGTAAGGGAGCATTCTTCTCACTGACCATCAATGTAAGAGATATTTTCACAATGTCCCTGATGGGCCAATTTTTGCAGGGGTTCCCTGAGACCTGAACATTATTTCAAGGGTTCCTCTGGGGTAAAAAGGTCGAGAAAGGCTTCTCTAAGCATCCCCCTTTAGGTGGACGAAAAAGTAGTGGCAATACCTTATTTTTGAGCGGTGGCCATGTCACTTCTAAGTCTTCTCTTTTCCCCCAAAGCTCTGAGAGTTGGATATGGAGTCTTCAGTGCTTAGTAGCTTGTTCTCCAACAGTGCTTGGTAGCTTGACAGTAATACTACATACTCCATACATATCAATCTAAAACAATGGGCAGGCCAAGTAATGCACACAGGCTGACTATATCCGTGCACAGGACACTATGTGGTATGGTGTCACTGATGAGAAGATATGTGTGTTTCCGTTGTACTGATAATCCAGGAAGAGGTGGCTGCAGCCATCATTTGAAAGTGACATTTCTTTTGCATATAATAATGATAGGGCTTGCAGGAGAGCTGTCAATGTATTATGTCAGGCAGAATTAGGATTCAGTAGCGGGTGTAGCGCAGATCCCTGATCCCCACAGATTTGTCTCAGGTTCTCTTCCTGTGCGGGTGTAAGGCAGTCAGGTACTCAGCAGCTTCCATGGTCTCACAACACAATGACCAGGCAGTGAGTGCCTTTTCAAGGTTTAATGCTTGCTGAACTTAGTTTGGTTCAGTCTCTCTGTCATCATGCCTGGGCTTAAAAGAGGCAAGTTTGGATAGTGAAAGGAGATATAACTTGCCTTCTCACCATGAGAATGGTGTACACCTTTTCCAGAAGATCACAACTCAACCCTGTCCTTGGGACTCACCAGCATCATTTTTCCCAAACCACAGCCTAACTCTTTCCTTCCACATGGAAATTCTTAAGTGACTGGCAATAGCATTCCCTGTAATGCAGACACTTTACACCACCATAGTTGTAGGCATGGCCTTTTTTTTTTCTGATATGCACATGTCACCACCTGAAGTTTCACCTGTTCTGGTTCCTTTGACAGTCACTAGTAGCAACAGCTGCCTGCACCCAGGGGGAATCCCGGATGAGCCCCCAACATGTAGCGCAGACCCTTAACGGGCCCTGCAGATTTGTTACAGGTTCTCTTCCCATGTGGGTATAAGGCAGCCAGGCACTCAGTAGCTTACAAAAAACTCTAAACTGTAATATAAGGGCTACACAATGAGGTCTACAATGCTCCTCCCTTGGACACCCACTCACCAATATGTAAAGGTGTGGCTGCCTGGTCAAGAAAATATCCAATTCTATAAGTTGGTCAACAACAAGAAAGAGAGGGGTGTGCTGATTTGGAAACCAGAATAATAGAGCTCCTGAGGTATTACCGACAGAAAAATAATTGTAAATGTGCCAGAAGAGTAATACTTTATTAAATAATAATAATTACAAAGCGCAAAAATATTTTTTAATGTCAAAATGGACTACACTACCCTCCACCACCATTTAAAAAGACAACGTTGTGTACCATATATACAAAGGCACCAGAGAACATGTACACATGCACTCCCAATAATATGCAAATGTAATCTATATAGCCATACTCAATAGTATTAGTGAAAACGTCTTAACATAATAGGCTATGCAAAAAATAGTAATATAAAAAGTCTGTCTGACATGGACATCCACAATGGGAAAGCAAACAGTGAAGGCCTACATCAATTAAACATATAGGCTGAGATAGCCCAATAAAAGTGGTTGTAAAGGCTCAAGGTTTTTTATCTCTGTGCATTCTATGCATGAAGGTAAAAAACCTGTATGCAGCAGTGCCCCCAGACCCCTCAATACTTACCTGAGCCCCATCACAATCCATAGATGATAACAACAGTCTTGGCTGTCCCGGGTCTCTCCCTCCTCATTGGCTGAGACAGCAAGTGGGAGCCATTGGCATCCACTGCTGTAAATCATAGCCAGTCAGCCAATGAGGAGAGAAAGGGGGTGGGGCCAAGCCATGGCTCTGTGTGTGAATGGACACACAGAGCAGAGGCTTGGGCACACACCTGCTCTGGTGCCCACATAGCAAGCTGCTTGCCATGGGGGCACCTGACAGAAAGGAGGAGCCAGGAGCTCCGGCAGGGGACCGAAGAAAAGGAAGATCTGGGCTGCATTGTGCAGGTAAGTATAACATGTTTGTTATTTTCAAAAAAAAAAAAAAGCAAACCTTTAGTATCACTTTAAAGCAGCAGCAAGTGATGTCAAAGCAGGATAGCTTATGTGTTATTCCAGCCAGAAAAAGGTATAGCATTCAAGCTGAGATAATACAGCATTAAGGTGATAGCAAGCAGTGTCAGGGCACAATAGCATACAATATATGTTGACCAAGGCAGGTAAAGATCTAACAGCCAACAGGACAGAAGTCAACACTGCACCAGGTAAATAGATTACACAGAATACAAATATTGTTGCTTCCTGCCAAACCAAATAAAGTTATCAGCGGGGAAGGAGCCTGTTTGTGAAGGCATCAGCAGGTGAGCAGAACCACATCCATAATGGAAACTCACTGACAGCATCTCCAATCACATAACCTGGATCATGCAGGCAACATAATGTGTAGCATAGCCATTCATAGTCTAAGCAGTATCCTTGGGAGATATCGCTGTCAAGCTCACCCGCATCAAATATGCTAGACCTTCCCTACTCCTTTATTCCCCTTTCAGTTCCCTTGTGCAGGCTGATGAACACAGCTGTAAATGCATTCTATGAAGCAGGGATGTTGCCACTCGAATACTCCAAAAGATGCTGTAGAACATGTTGCTCCAGTGGCTTCACTTCCGTGCAGACAGAACAGACCAGTTCCACAGTCACAAAACACAATGACCTGGCCATGAGTGTCTTTTTAAGGTTTAATGCTCGTTGAACTTGGTTGGGGTATAGGGTGAGCCTCCAAATTTAGTGCACAATGTAGCAGAGGAAACTCTCTGGTTTAACTAGACTCCTCAGAGTGACCCCCTTCTGGACTACCAATAGGAGAACACTCAACTCAGGGAACTCCAAATACAGGAGCAGTCCTAAGTCAACAACTTTGGAGCAAGTGTTCAAAGGGTTAAGCAGCAACAGTCACTAGGATCTCTCTCACCATCCTTTACTCACAATGTCCTGCTTTACTTGGATGCCTTTTTCCATTACCAGCCAGACACTTCCCCCATGAGCCTCCAGGCCAAATACTCATAAACCCCTCTGAATTGGCTCCATCTCTTTTCAGAAAATAGGTCCCAAAGCTCTCCCTGAGCTGGGACCTTGATGAACTCCTGCAGACTTCAGCTAATCTGCCCAAAAGGGCGGCAGCCTTTCAAGCTGTGGTCTTCTCCTCCTATAGAAAAACCTTACTGTTCTAGGCTTCAAACTATTTATACACTCCTCAGCCACCTACTGGGCACTCCCTCAGGACTTGGCTGAGGCTGTACGAATATTCAGGCCCAGGGTTTGCCTCTTCCAACTAACTACATTATTTAATCCACTAGAAGGCTGGGGGAAGTTGTTGAGCCTGTAACCAGCAAGACCCAGAACATCCAAAAATAATCACACTCTGCTCCACTGATTACAGGGGAGCTAAAAAAAATTAGATAAATTTACCTCAACCTCCTTAGCAATCTATTCTAGGAGGGTGCTGCATGGGTTTATAAACACTTTAACTACAGCAATGAAAAGTCAGGCCACCAGTCTGGCTGTGCTCTCTGGTAGGGCTTTCCAAAGTACAAGACTGGGTAAAAAGAAAAAGGAATCCTTTGGAAGTTAAAACAACAGCATATGCATTTCAATTACGTATTTAGATGTTTGAATTTCAGCTAAACAAAAAAAAGCAACTTCAAGTCTGAATTAAATTACTAAATAATACATATAAAAAATATTTTTTTTTTAAGTAAGGTTTTTTTTTTTTACAGCTCTCTGCATATAATTATAGTTTTCGCTAGGTGTTAATGCTCCTTAATTGCCACCAAGTAATGGTTTATTTGGATCAATGCATTTTATTTACTCTTAACCCTGCAACTGTCTCACAAAGGAAATGACTTTTCCCCCTATTAAGAGGTCTGTGCAGTAAAAGCAGCCCTGTTGTGTGGTAACCCATAAATCTCCTTCAAAAAACAGAGAGCTTCCTGCAGAACACAAGTATTCCGCTTATCCACATGATAAGAATACAGTGCGTGTTGTTCTATGCCGCGAATGGAGGTGCTAATTGGTTGGGGATTACCACCTATAGTAAAAAAACCGAAGGAGCCCATTAAGCCATTGCAGGGAGTGCCAGAGTTGTTGCTGTAATTATTAGCTAGTTTTGGTTAGAGGAAAACATATAGTAGGAAATTGCTGATTTATAGACTTAATGACATAATAACTTGGTAAGAGGCCATGGTAACTTTACTGGTTAACCTTTTAAAACAGTTGCTCAATATTTTTTTCATTAAAGACAACAAGACCTTAAAAAGCTATTTTTTATCCTTTAGTTAGACCAATCCTGCAATGACCCCGTCCCCCCAAGTCATTTTACTAATATAAATTACTATATGCGCCTGCTCCAAGAAATAATTGAATAAATAAGCTATATATTAAAGCAGTATTAAACCCAAAACCAAAAATGTCATATATTGCAGCTTACCAATCCTTAGTTGTAGTGGTTGCATTAGTTTTCTTTTAAGGCTTTTTCCCATCTCTGAATGAAGACACACAGGGGCATCTTTGGACAACAGCATTGTTAGTCTTGGGGGAGGGGAGTGTTAGATGTACTAGCAGATTTAGATTTGAGTCCAAACTCCAGTTCACACTGCAGTTACAGGAACAGTATTGTTTTCTTTTGAGATGAACATTTTACATACATAAAGAAATGTTGATTATTGTAAGTATCCCGGACAGTGTTAAATGGTTTGGCTCAACACTCTAACTGTTATATTTGTAGTCTGTGCTGAAGACTGCGCTGGACTAACTGGATCAGTTACTGGTCATCGGTGGGTGGTTGTATGGGTGGGTTGGGAGATGTCCCTCCAGTTAGTTGTGCCCTATGGTGGATACTGGCGGTAAACCCTCTTACGATTTAGGCTGTTGCCTTTCTGGTACGGCTTTGAGGTCACTTCCACGCGTATACTTGGAATAGAAGAAAAGAAGGAGCACCCAATGTCCAAAAAAATGCATTTTTGATGGTAAATTAAGAGGCATTTATTAAGAGTAACGACAAGTACATCAAGCCAACGTGTTTCAGGAGAAATACTCTCCCTTCTTCAGGGCTGTTGCTGCACGCTATTAAATGGGAAAAGTTCTGATGCAGGTTATATATTTTCCAGGTTTCGGAAGAAGAACTGACAGAGACCGCTGTCATTCCAGGAGCAGCAATGACTCTTTGCTACCTCTGGCACTACGTGTCAGACAATTCAAGGAAGTAAATGTGTGGCAATGTTCCAAAAGTAAGTTCACAAACTTCAAGTTTGTGCAGATCAGGCCTGGACTGGCTATAGGGGTCACCTGAATATGATGATTTCTCAGTTCCTCTATGTGCCACCCGGCCACCCCTCCTATCCATCATCTCCTGCATGCCGTGGGCTCCTGTATGCTCCCCCTGTGGCTGCCCCCCCATCTCCTGCAGCGCTGCAGAGAATCTGTCAGAATATTCTGTTTCCAGTGCTGACAATTCCCGCCCCCCCCACAAATGGGGGAGAAGAGAGAAAGCTTCCCTTCCTCCTCCCACCCTCTCCTCCTGTTTCTGCCCCACCCACACTCCCCAACAGCCTTGTGTCTTCTCTCCCCCTTCCTTCTTTCTTTCTTTCTTTCTTTCTTTCTTTCTTTCTTTCTTTCTTTCTTTCTTTTTTCTTTCTTTCTTTCTTTCTTTCTTTCTTTCTTTCATTCTTTCTTTCTCTCCTTCCTTCTTTCCCTCTTTCTTTTTCCTTCTTCCTTCTTTCCCTCTTTCCCTCCTACCTTATTTTCCTCCTTCCTTCTTTTCCTCATTCTTTCCCTCGTTCATTCCCTCTCTCTTTCCCTCCTTCCTTCTTTCCCTCATTCTATCCCTCTTTCTTCCCCTCCTTCCTTCTTCCCCTCTAGAGATGAGCGAATTATTCAAAAATTCGATTCGACTGATTCGGCGAATTCGTGAAAAAATTTTGATTCGAGTCGAATATATTCGCTGCGAATTTAACTTATATAAAAGGGTGTTTCTAGTCTTCAGAGAGCCTTTATATTAGTGCAGAACACTGTACCTTTAATTTAAATGCCCTTGGAGTCTGCTGGGGAAGAGAAATAATAACTGACAGTCAGTATGACATGCAGATGAGTGCCGTCGATCTTAGAATCACCGCACACTTCACTCATTTGGGCAGTCACGGGGCCAAAACCAGAGTGTGGAGCCACAGTGTGGCGGTGGAGGCAGCAGCAATGGGAGGCCATACAGCACCCTATGACAAAAATGGAACCCACCAGCAGTGTGAGGAGACCTGAAAGTGGCACATGGCAGAGTGTGGCGATGGAGACAGCAGCAATGGGAGGCCGTACAGGGACCCATGAGAGACTCTGGACCTGGCAGCAGCATGAGGAGGCGGTACAGGGGCCCATGGCAGATTAGGGGCCTGGCAGCAGCTATGGGAGGCCCGTAATCTGCCAGCACCCTATGACAAAAAATTGAACACACCAGCAGTGTGAGGAGACCTGAAAGTGGCACATGGCATGAGACACTGTGGACCTGGCAGCAGCATGAGGAGGGCGGGGTACAGGGGCCCATGGCAGATTAGGGGCCTGGCAGCAGCTATGGGAGGCCCGTAATCTGCCAGCACCCTATGACAAACAATGGAACACACCAGCAGTGTGAGGAGACCTGAAAGTGGCACATGGCATGAGACACTGTGGACCTGGCAGCAGCATGAGGAGGCGGTACAGGGGCCCATGGCAGATTAGGGGCCTGGCAGCAGCTATGGGAGGCCCGTAATCAGCCAGCACCCTATGACAAAAAATGGAACACACCAGCAGTGTGAGGAGACCTGAAAGTGGCACATGGCATGAGACACTGTGGACCTGGCAGCAGCATGAGGAGGCGGTACAGGGGCCCATGGCAGATTAGGGGCCTGGCAGCAGCTATGGGAGGCCCGTAATCTGCCAGCACCCTATGACAAAAAATGGAACACACCAGCAGTGTGAGGAGACCTGAAAATGGCACATGTTTGGGGCATGATTCATGGCGGATTTAGTCAGTTGTGTCAGGAACTGGTGGTTTGAAATCCAGACTAATCCACGCCTGATTCATTTTCACAAACGTGAGTCTCTCCACACTTTGGGTGGACAGTCGTGTCCTCCGCGGAGTTACAATACCTCCTGCCGCACTAAACACGCGCTCCGATGCCACGCTACTGGCCGGGCATGACAGCCTTTCAAGGGCAAATTCAGCTAGTTGGGGCCAAAGGTCAAGTTTCGTTGCCCAGTAGTCAAGGGGATTGTCTACCTCGGTTGGCAGGGTGCTGTCCAAGTAGGCCCAGGCCTGTTGTTTGAGGTCCTGCTCCAGGTCCACCTGATGCTGCTGCTGCTGCGGCTGGTTAGTAGTTTCCTCACTGCGCTGGTGAACGCTAGCTCATCAGGACTGCAGACTGAGGCAGGCTGCTACTGCTCCTTCCACACCCCACCCCTCCCCTGCTGCATGGCAGCGGAACGCGAGCGCACAGGGCCCACAGTGTCTGAGGATGGACGTTGGCGCAGAAAGGCAGAGACCAACTGACTACATAGGTGGTTTTTATAGTACGTTATTTTGGCCTCCCTCTCAGCAGGTGTGAAAAAGGCCACCATTTTTGAATGGTAGCGAGGGTCCAACAAGGTGGACAGCCAAAAGTCATCCCTCTGTCTGATGGTTATTATTCGGCTGTCGCTACGCAAGCAACCGAGCATGCTATGGGCCATTTGTGCCAAGGAATGCGAGGGACTCCCTGCCTCCATCTCCACAGCATACTGCCACGGTGCGTCTGGGTCCTCTGTCTCCTCCTCCTCCTCCTCTACCAGATGCTCCTGCTCCTCCACTCCTGTCCGCTGAGTGGAAAAACCACCCATTTCACTCAATAATTCCTGAGCACAAATGTCCTCCTCTACCTCCTCTCTTCTTCCTGTCCTGCCCCCACAGGGGTCATGTGGCGTTGAGATCTGTGCGCCACGTCTACCGCACCCTGACCAGCCATTGTTAACAGCATTTGTTCCAGGACGTGCAACAGAGGAATGACGTCGTTCATCCCATAGTCCTGCCGACTCACGAATAGCGTGGCCTCCTCAAAGGGCCTGAGCAAGCGGCAGGTGTCACGCATGAGCTGCCAATGGCTGACATCGAAGTTACACAGGGGAGTACCTTTATCCGCTTGTAACATCAGGAAATCGGTGATGGCCTTTCGCTGTTCGTAAAGGCGGTCTAACATGTGTAGGGTTGAATTCCACCTTGTTGCAACGTCGCAGATCAGGCGATGCTGTGGAATTCCGTTCTCTGCCGCTGCAGCTCAAGGAGGGTGTGCTTTGCGGTGTAGGAATGGCTGAAATGCATGCAAAGTTTACGTGACATTTTAAGGATGTCTTGCAGTGGGATGGTGGATTTTAGGAACCGCTTGACAACCAGATTGAACACGTGAGCCATGCATGGCGCATGGCACAACCTTCCTTGACGCAGAGCAGACACCATGTTCTTTCCGTTGTCGGTCAACATGGTTCCGATTTTCAGTTTGCGCGGAGACAGCCATCTGTCGATTTCTCTGTTCATTACACTGAGAAGTTCCTCCCCTGTGTGACTACGTTCGCCAAGGCATACCAGGTGCAGCACAGCGTGACACCGTTGCGCCCTGCACATGTGATATGCCGGTCGGGTAATGGGACTTGGCACGGGGGTGGCGGCTGAGGACACGGCGGAAGAAGAGGTGGTAGAGGCGGACATCTTTGCCGGACCAAGGACGTGCAAACGTGGAGGCAAAAGCGGCGTGACCCTGTCCAAGTTGCTGGTGCGGCTGTGACGGCACCACGTTCACCCAGTGGGCCGTAAATGACATGTACTGTCCCTGACCGTAGTTACAGCTCCATACGTCGGCGCTGCCGTGCACTTTGGCAGAGACCGACATGCTCAAAGACTGGCCCACCATCTCTTCTACATGTGAATGCAGGGCTGGCACTGCCTTTTTGGCGAAGAAATGACGGCTTGGCACTCTCCACCGCGCGGCGCGGCACAAGCCATCATTTCTCGGAAAGGTGCTGAGTCCACCACTTGGAAAGGGAGGGACTGCAGCACCAGCAACTTGGACAGGAGGACGTTCAGCTTTGCACCGTCGGGTGCGTGCTCGCAAACTGTTGTCTCTTGGAAACGGATTCCAAGAAAGACTGCTGACGGAATCCGTGAAGAGGAGTAGCAGGAGAAGGAGCATCAGAACGAGCGGAAGATGCCAACGAGCGACAACTCCCCTCAGCAGAGGTGTTGGAGCCTTGACTGGCTGATAGAGGGCGATTGACGTCGGGTGACGGAGCAAGTAACGGAGCGGTGATGGAGCGGGGGCTGGGGCAGGGCAGAACCGCCGTATCTTTATCACGGTTTTCCCAGGCCACCAAATGGCGACGCTGCATATGCTGCCGCAACGCTGTAGTCCCAACATGGGCCCCCTGGCCACGCTTGACTTTCTGGCCACATAGTCGACATACGGCTACGTTTTACTTCCTCGGGCGGCTTGACAAAAAATTGCCACACACCGCCGCCGAGTAGGAAACTTTGCCCCCGATACTCCTCACTGGCTGACTGCTGCTTCCTCCGTGCACACCGGCACCACTACTGGCCGTGGTGGTAGGCTGCAGTGGAGCTGGTGCACTACTCCGTGGCCGTTTGCCTCCACTGACACTGCTGCGACCCTGCTGCCTCCTGGGCAACCCACCGACTGTTTTGCTCGCTGCCAAGCTGCCACCCTCTTCTCCTGATGATGCGGAAGCAATAGCCTGATGACGACGAGGCTGCCAAGTGCGATCAGCCTCATCATCATCAATTAGGGTCTCTCGCCGCCTCACTACTAGCCCCCTCGGCTGCGTGTGGGTCAGGAGACAGACCTGTCTCTAGACCGGCTACCGAGCCACTCTCCTCGCCACTACTTCTTCGCCTGGCTGCTGAAGAGGCGGATGTCTCCCCCCGTTCCTGACCGCCCTCTGTTAGCTCTTCCTCACTGTACAGTGGGGCTGAGCCCACAGCATACGATACTTCGCTTGGTGAGGGAACACCAAAGGACAGGGGCAGGTCGAGGACACGTGATTTCAGTGGGCTTGCTCCCGGGCCATGCCAACTAACGGTTGTGTCTGACGTACCCACCGACCGTTGGCTGTAGGTGTCAGAGGTGACCTGGGAAGAGGAAGACGACCGAGCCAACCAATCGATGACGGCAGGGTTGTCGGTGGAGAGACACGACCGCTGGATGACACCGGGAGCACTGGCCTCTGGCTGCGACTAGTGCTGCCTCGACCCCTTCCTCTGCTGCCACGTCTGCTCGCTCCTAAAACATTGCCTCCTCTGCCCACTCCCTATGCATGTTGTCTGACATACTCTTTAATTAAACGATTCTGTGTCCCTGAGTAACAATTCTTTGTCTGTCCCTGAGTAACAATTCTGTGTCCCTGAGTAACAATTCTGTGTCCCTGTAACAATTCTGTGTCCCTCAGTAACAATTCTGTGTCCCTCAGTAACAATTCTGTGTCCCTGAGTAACAATTCTGTGTCCCTCAGTAACAATTCTGTGTCCCTCAGTAACAATTCTGTGTCTGTCCCTGAGTAACAATTCTGTGTCCCTGAGTAACAATTCTGTGTCCCTCAGTAACAATTCTGTGTCCCTCAGTAACAATTCTGTGTCTGTCCCTGAGTAACAATTCTGTGTCCCTCAGTAACAATTCTGTGTCCCTCAGTAACAATTCTGTGTCTGTCCCTGAGTAACAATTCTGTGTCCCTCAGTAACAATTCTGTGTCCCTCAGTAACAATTCTGTGTCCCTCAGTAACAATTCTGTGTCCCTCAGTAACAATTCTGTGTCCCTCAGTAACAATTCTGTGTCTGTCCCTCAGTAACAATTCTGTGTCCCTCAGTAACAATTCTGTGTCTGTCCCTGAGTAACAATTCTGTGTCTGTCCCTCAGTAACAATTCTGTGTCCCTGAGTAACAATTCTGTGTCCCTGAGTAACAATTCTGTGTCCCTCAGTAACAATTCTGTGTCCCTGAGTAACAATTCTGTGTCCCTCAGTAACGTTTCTGTGTCCCTAAGTAACAATTCTGTGTCCCTCAGTAACAATTCTGTGTCCCTCAGTAACAATTCTGTGTCTGTCCCTAAGTAACAATTCTGTGTCCCTAAGTAACAATTCTGTGGCCCTAAGTAACGTTTCTGTGGCCCTAAGTAACAATTCTGTGTCCCTCAGTAACGATTCTGTAGTCCCTAAGTAACAATTTTCTGTGGCCCTAAGTAACAGTTCTGTGGTCCCTCAGTAACAATTCTGTGTCCCTCAGTAACAATTCTGTGTCTGTCCCTGAGTAACAATTCTGTGTCCCTAAGTAACGTTTCTGTGGCCCTAAGTAACAGTTCTGTGGCCCTCAGTAACAAATCTGTGTCCCTCAGTAACAATTCTGTGTCTGTCCCTAAGTAACAATTCTGTGGCCCTAAGTAACGTTTCTGTGGCCCTAAGTAACGTTTCTGTGGCCCTAAGTAACGATTCTGTGTCCCTCAGTAACAATTCTGTGTCTGTCCCTAAGTAACAATTCTGTGTCTGTCCCTGAGTAATGTTTCTGTGGCCCTAAGTAACAATTCTGTGGCCCTCAGTAACAATTCTGTGTCCCTCAGTAACAATTCTGTGTCCCTAAGTAACGTTTCTGTGGCCCTAAGTAACAGTTCTGTGTCCCCTCAGTAACAATTCTGTGTCCCTCAGTAACAATTCTGTGTCTGTCCCTAAGTAACAATTCTGTGGCCCTAAGTAACGTTTCTGTGGCCCTAAGTAACAGTTCTGTGTCCCTCAGTAACAATTCTGTGTCCCTCAGTAACAATTCTGTGTCTGTCCCTAAGTAACAATTCTGTGTCTGTCCGACGTTTCTAGTAACAATTCTGTGTCCCCTAAGTAACGTTTCTGTGTGTCCCCTAAGTAACAGTTTCTGTGGCCCTCAGTAACAATTCTGTGTCCCTCAGTAACAATTCTGTGTCTGTCCCTAAGTAACAATTCTGTGGCCCTAAGTAACGTTTCTGTGGCCCTAAGTAACAGTTCTGTGGCCCCTCAGTAACAATTCTGTGTCCCTCAGTAACAATTCTGTGTCTGTCCCTAAGTAACAATTCTGTGGCCCTAAGTAACGTTTCTGTGGCCCTAAGTAACAGTTCTGTGTCCCTCAGTAACAATTCTGTGTCTGTCCCTAAGTAACAATTCTGTGGCCCTCAGTAACAATTCTGTGTGTCCCTCAGTAACAATTCTGTGTCCCTAAGTAACGTTTCTGTGGCCCTAAGTAACAGTTCTGTGGCCCTCAGTAACAATTCTGTGTCCCTCAGTAACAATTCTGTGTCTGTCCCCTAAGTAACAATTCTGTGGCCCTAAGTAACGTTTCTGTGGCCCTAAGTAACGTTTTCTGTGGCCCTAAGTAACGATTCTGTGTCCCTCAGTAACAATTCTGTTGTCTGTCCCTAAGTAACAATTCTGTCTGTCCCTGAGTAACAATTCTGTGTCCCTAAGTAACGTTTCTGTGGCCCCTAAGTAACAGTTCTGTGGCCCTCAGTAACAATTCTGTGTCCCTCAGTAACAATTCTGTGTCTGTCCCTAAGTAACAATTCTGTGGCCCTAAGTAACGTTTCTGTTGCCCTAAGTAACAGTTTCTGTGGCCCTCAGTAACAATTCTGTGTCCCTCAGTAACAATTCTGTGTCTGTCCCTAAGTAACGTTTCTGTGTCCCTAAGTAACGTTTCTGTGTCCCTAAGTAAAGTTTCTGTGTCCCTAAGTAACGTTTCTGTGGCCCTAACTAACGTTTCTATGTCCCTAAGTAACGTTTCTGTGTCCCTAACTCTCTCCCTGAATACAGCCAGGTCTGCCTCTGTTGAATGACTGGAGGCAAATGGAGAATTCTAAAATGGCCGCCATTTATAGCTCGACCATTACACAGTGCTGGCTGGCTGGCTGCTGATTGGCTAATGCGATCACATGTCATGAATGAATGCAATATGGGTCAGCGCGCCTTGTCTGCGCGCCTTCCCAGACATCCCCGCTCCGTCGCCGCACATGTCGCCGCCATTTTAGGAAAAATTTCGATTCGCGCATCCGAAGTCTGCTAATTTTCGGAATCGAAATTTTTCTAATATTCGAAGCGAATTCCACTTCGCCGAGTTCGATTCGCTCATCTCTACTTTTTAGATACATGCTTCATCTGTGAGTATGTTTTTATTATTCTTTCACTCCTACAATAAACCTTGGATAATGCACTAGGTGTGTGTGCCACCTGTTTTCTCTCTATCCCTGGCATAGAGAGCCTGACACCGACCAACACCAGACCCCCTCCCCCACAGAGAGAGCCTAACAGTGACCAACAACACCTCTGCCTCATCATCCCTCCCACCCGAGAGAGCCTTTCACTAACAAACCCCCCCCCCCCCCCAATGACAGAGACACCTACCTTTTTTCAGCTCTGGACATCCCTGGGAACGATAGTCGGGCTCTGCATACATCATCAAGCTGCCTGCAACCTCGCTCATATCCCACCTGGTCCCCATGCTGTATATGTCCCTTCTTCCAAGGGGCAGTGCTACCCCCCTAAAAAATGCCGCCCTAGGCAAATGCCTTGTTTGCCTTGTGCTAAATATGCCCCTGCTCCTGTCTAGATTAGCCCTAGTATGTGTATGTATGAATGTGAGTTAGGGACCTTAGATTGTACACCCCTTGAGGGTTAGGGACTGATGTGAATGTACAATATATATGTAAAGCTTAAATTGACAGCGATATATAAGTATGTGTAATACATAAATACTAAACTGAAACGGGTCAGCCTGTGCTCTTTATTATTTTATCATTATTTTCTTTTTCTCCTATTGTCAAAAAAAAAATGATTTCTGACACATAGAGGTTTATTTACTAAAGCTGGGGAGTGCAAAATCCATCTCACTTCTGCATAGAAACCAATCAGCTTTTAACCTCAGCTTGTTCAGTTAAGCTTTGGCAATAAAACCTGGAAGCTGATTGGTTTCTATGCAGAAGTGCGCCTGATTTTGCACTCTCCAGCTTTAGTAAATAAACCCCCATGGTGTCCATAAAAAACTGTTCAAATGTGAGATAAAGAGATACAAATTAACATTGTTCCTCCATTGTTGTATCTACTCTGTTTTATTCATTTATAGAAATAATTAGATAGATTATGGTAGATGATGAATTATTTAATTCTTGGTATGTGCATGCAGATTTTCTTTTTTAATATAATTAGGAAAGAATCATATGATAAATGCACAGATGACCAAAGACAGATCCTTATACAAATAGTTAGAAATGTAAAGTCTCCTGATGTGTAAGCCGTGTACGGGGTGGGCTCCCCAGGACACAGTGAAGTCACGAACAAGGAAAGCAACCCCAACACCAGCTTTTGTCACAACAGAATTTTACTTAGATGTGGCAAATAAACACAACCCCAAATGCTGGGAACATACAATAAATTTACATACACCCAGCCCAAAGGCTGAGACCCTTGTGCTGCACAGCACAGCGCCTTCTGATGGATGAAGGTAGAAAGTGAAGTAATTTACCTACTGGGGGGCACAACTAACCCGTTATTACCCTAAAAGAGCAGGAATCAGTGTATGGGTGTATGGTATGGGCTAGCCTGCGGTGCAGCACAACAGCTTACAATCTTACACAAATCTACAGTATTCCCCCCTCCCATAACTGGTCCTGTAGCATGTGCCTGAGTATTCCTTCTGAGTAAAACGCCAGTCTGGCTTGAGTTTGTAGGATTTTATCAGCTCTCCAATGTGAAATGTCACTTTAAGTGGTGGAGTCCTTCCAATGATCAGTAATAACACTTGTGGCCTGACACAAACAGAGACCCTAACTAACTAACTATAGGCCTGGTCTCAGTCTATAGGCGCCAACACTAAAATGAGGTGCGTGCACGATCTTACCGACCCGGGTCTGCTTTGCATCCACTGGTGACTTTGAACAGAGCAAATGTCTCTCCAACAAGCATGCGGTATCGCAGTATATGTTGCGTTGTTCTTCTGCTCTCATCAGCATTCCTGGCAGCAATCTTCCTTTCTCTGAAAAGGATCAGGGTCTTGGACACGATCAGCTTCACTTAGCCGCAGCTCTGGTTACTGAGGGATGCATTCACACCTGGATGTCATCGGATTCTCAGCTCACACGGCCCCTTCATTCAGCATTGTCCAAAACATGGCTGCAGACCCCTCTTCCTGTTCACTAAACTCCATGTGAAAACCCCACCTCTTATTGAATATAGAAATATCTATGCAGTCTGAGTCTGTGTTAGAAAAACAGTGACATCTTGTGGCTAAACCGCAGAATGTCACTCCAGAACATTTAATTTACTGCACACAAACAGTGTTCAAACAATGAGAGCTGTTTCCCCATCTCACAGATGAGTTCAACTCAAGCCAAACGGAGCCAACTCAGCCAATTTTGATATAAATCTCTTGATTGCTTGTACTTATGCATTAATTCATGATGGTATCCCAAATTAATTATGCTATTACTATTATCCAGCAGGGGCGGACTGACCATTTGGGAACTCGGGCACTGCCCGAGGGTCCGGGGTCAGTAGGGGGCCCCATGAGATGCCCCTGGTACCTTTCACAGGCTTTTTTGGGTGTGGTTTGAGTGTGGGCGAGGACACAGGGGCCCCATGATCCCCTTTTGCCCAGGGGCCCCATGAGTTGTCAGTCCACCCCTGTTATCCAGTTGTCTTTTCAGTATTTTCAATAGGATGTGTAATGCTGCATAGGTACATTTATTGTCTTACATAACGGCCCTTTCAAAACGGCGGACCGATCAGAACAGGTGGTTCATTTACATCTGACCACCCCAAAGAGAACAGCGGTCTGTGTCTGCCTTTCACACAGGCGGACCAATCATGTCCACCTGTCTGTTTTTCAGGTGGACCCTCTCAAACCATCCATTCTTCTTTATGGGGAAGTGGATATAAATGAACATGTGTCTGTTTACAGCTGCCTGCATCCGATCCGCTGAAAACAGATGGATGAGGATCCATTCAACATCCATCTAGTAGATCAGATTGGATGTCAGTTGTATGTAAATGGTCAGGCGGTGTGTTTAAATCTGACTGTCCCATAGAGAACAACAGGCTGTCCCTGTCTGCTCTGCACAAATGGAGCAGACAGGAACTTTTCATCCACCTATAGACATCAGTTGACAGATCCCCCACTGAGCAGGCAGATCTGTTTAATGGAGTCTGCCCGTGTGAAAGGGTCCTAAGAGTTGTATTGTGAAACTATCCATATCATCTTAACCGATAAAAAAATAGGTTGGTTACATAGTTATGAAGGTTAAAAAGGCCATCTAGTCTTATTTACTGTTTTAATTCCAGATGATAATTAGCTGAAGAATGGAAAACATTATGATATCTTAACTTGTCCTTCTGAAAAGCAACAAACATCACTCATTCAAAGGCCTTGCATACTTTAAAGTTATGTTTCAGAACAACATCACCATGATCACTGAAATTCATCTTCTAGGCTTCCACAATCTTTATCATATCAACTTTTTTCTCTTCATTCTTTTTTTTTACGATTTACTACCTTACGACAAGTGGAAACTTGCTCCTCATAGTTGTAGTAGTCAAAATCAGAAGCCTGCACACTCCAATGTACTTCTTCCTCAGTCAGCTCTCCCTATCGGACCTGATTATGGCCAACAGTGTTGGACCCATTTTGCTTCATGTGCTGGTGGATCAACAAACCACAATCACCTTTGCAGGCTGCTTAGCTCAGTTTTACTTTTTCAGTGCATCCTTGGCCCTTGAAACTCTCCTTTTGACCGTGATGTCTTGCTATTTGTAACCCTCTACGATATAACACTATCATGAATGATAAATTCTGTTTAAAGATCATTTTATTTTCTTGGTTATTGAGCTTTTCTGTGATTTTAAACCATGTCCTAGCAATTTTTAATTTGCAATTTTGTCGCTCTAATGTCATTGACCATTTCTTCTGTGACCTTTCTCCTCTGTTGGAGCTTTCCTGTTCGGACACACGTCTTGTGCAGGCTGAGGTTACAATACTCTCCATTCCTATGGCTGTAATTCCATTTCTATTAATCATTACATCATATTGTCATATTATCGGTACTATCTTAAGAATCCCCTCGGTCAATGGAAGACAAAAAGCCTTCTCCACTTGCAGCTCCATCTCATAGTTGTGTCTATATATTATGGAACTCTTATTTGTACCTACATGGTTCCAACACGGGGACAGTCATTAACTGCCAGCAAAGTACTGTCTATTCTCTATACAGTCATGATTCCATTTATTAATCCTATCATATATTGTTTTAGGAATAATGACATTAAAGTAGATTTTCAAAAATTTGCAACTTTGACAAATAAATAGACATTATTATTATTATACAGGATTTGTATAGAGCCAACAGTTTGCTCAGCGCTTTACAATATAACGGGAGACAATACAGCAACAATACAAGAAGGTTAGGAGTGCCCTGCTCCTTAGAGCTGACAATCTAAGAAGGAGGGGCTGGTGGTACAAAAGGTAATAACTGTGGGGGATGAACTGGTAGGAATAGAAGATTCCGTAATTAGCTGAAGGCAAGATAAGCTTGCCTGAAGAGATTGGCTTTCAGAGATCACGTAAAAGTGGGCAGAGTAGGTGATAGGTGGATAGACTGGGGTAGAGAGTTCTAGAGGACGGGGGTGGCTCTTGAGAAGTCCTGGAGACTAGCATGGGAGGAATAAACAGGGGAGCTAGAGAGCAGGAGGTCTTGGGAGGAGCGGAGAGGACAATGTGGGTGATATTTGGAGACAAGATTGGTGATGTAGTTTGCGGCAGAGTTATACATGGCTTTATATGTTATTGTTAATGTTTTGAATTTTATTCGTTGGACAATGGGAAGCCAGTGGAGGGATTGGCAGAGAGGAATGGAGGACACTGAGTGGAGGCCAGTGGAGGGATTGGCAGAGAGGGGTGGAGGACACTGAGTGGAGGCCAGTGGAGGGATTGGCAGAGAGGAATGGAGGACACTGAGTGGAGGCCAGTGGAGGGATTGGCAGAGAGGGGTGGAGGACACTGAATGGTGGTCAGTGGAGGGATTGGCAGAGAGGGATGGCAGATATGGAATGGTTGGTAAGGTGGATGAGTCTGGCAGCAGCATTCATGATAGACTTGTGAAACATAAGAGAATACTTACCTTTTCTGACACTCATGCTGCCAAACACCACTCCCAGTCCAATAAGAGACCAACCCTTTTTGAAATGTGGATTTCCTAAGGCACCCTGCAGGTCTCACTGGTTCCTCCCGGTGATCTTCATGCCATTACAGGACATGGCAGTGACAGAGAGGTGAGCAAGAGGAACTGTCAAGAGCTAAAGGTGATCTAGAAGATCAACACTCCTAAAAGAATGGGCATCTCCACAGACATTGGAAGGTTCCCACTCATTTGGGCAATGGAGCAATGTTCAGTAGTGCAGGCAGCACGATAAGTAAGAACTCTTTGTTCTTTTATAAGAGTTTCTGTATTGAGAGATGTAACTCATCTAGCAGGATCCCCTTAAAGGATAGGCTCACCTTTAGTCGTATGTTAAGAGGTGTGACTGTAAAAAAAAAATATATATATATATATTCTCCAACATATCTTCTTAGAAACATAGAAACTTAGAAAAGTGATGGCAGAAAAACAGACAGAGTGGTCCATCGTGTATGCATGTTTTGGGTGGGGGTGGGTTTTTTTTTTTTTTTTGGGGGGGGGGTGATTTGTTTTGGGTATTTATTTGTTTGTTTGTTTTTTTTGTTAACTTTTTTGTGTATAGATCTATGCTTGTCCCAAGTATGTTTGAAGCTATTTACTGTTAACTGGCTCACTACCTCTGCTGGAAGTTTATTCTAAGCATCAACTACTCTTTCAGTAAAATAATACTTTATGAGATTAGTTTTGAACTTTCCTCCAGTTAGTTTAAGGTCACATCCCTGTGTTCTTGATTTTGGTTTCATGTTGAAAATACTGCCCTCCTGAACCTTATCCACCCCTTGATGTATTTAATGCTTTCAAGTCATGTCTCCCCTTTCCCTTCTTTCCTCCAGACTGTATATATTAAGTTCCTGAAGTAGCTCTTGATATGCGTCTCTGGACTTGAATCTTATCAATATCTTTTTGTAAGTGAGATCTCTAGAACTGGACACAGTTTTCTAAATGAGGTCTAACTAAAGATCTATATAGAGGAATCCGGACCTCCTTCCTCCTACTGGTGACCCCTGTAATGATGCATCCTAGAATTCTATTTGCTTCCCCCACTACCTGGTCACACTGTTTGCTCATTTTGCAATCATTTGAAATAAGTACCCCAAAGTCCTTTTCCTCTGAAGTGCTGTCCAACAATGTACCCTCAATGTTGTACTCTCTCAAGGGATTTTTTTCCCTAGGTGCATTATTTTACATTTAGAAACACTGAACTTCAATTTCTACTTAGACTGATTTTCTAAAGAGTTGAGAATATTCACTCAATAAATTGTGTGAATAGTCACTTCAATTGGCCAATCACATAAGCAAATTACTCTACTTATTTCATGGGATTAGATAACTAAAGTTTATATTTACACAGTTTATTGTGTAAAATTTCTCAACTTAGTAAGTCAGTCTTCATGAGTGGAGTAAGCATTATTTGCAGCAGAATAGATTTTCAGAGAAGCCACAAGGGTGAGTGCACATATTTTCAAATCATTTGAAGTTTTGTCACTAATAATGAGAATCTTTCTAGCGGGCAAGCACGTATCCTTTGGGACTAGCCCTACATGTGTGATTTTTTTTTTAAATGTAGTTGTAATCAAGTTGGTCATGAAGGAGGATGTAGATGTACGGGAATACTTTTCAAGGGAATATGGTTTACATGACTCCTTTGTAGGCAGGTTCAGTCTGTACTTCCCACTGTAGGTGGCACTTTAACAAAATAGGCAGTGCAGCGGAGGAAAGAAGTTCTAGTCAACTTAGTTCCTCTATGATTTCCTGTGGTCACCTGAGAGCAGCTGTTTGATCAGATGCTGGTCCCCTCGTGACCCCTGTGGCCTTCTTGGGTGAAGGCAGAGCTTATTTAAATCCCTTCTCCTCTGAATTGGAGCACATGCTGTGAGTGGCTAGAGTAGGGATAGGTTCTTAGCACTTAGCAGCAAAGAAAGGTTCTAGAGGAGTAGTGAAAGTGTAGATACATGTCTTCCTCACTGGAGTAGCTTCCCATTTGGGTTGGACTGGCCAGACTCCACTTCCACTCCTCCTTGCAAGCACTGTCACCCCCTGATTGTATCTTGTTGGAATGTTATAATATATATTCAGGACATTGCAATCCACCTTTGTGTGTTCTCTTCTTCTGCCACCCCAATCTGCACACTGCTCACACCTTTGTAACCTATAGATCTCATTTATGCAACACCCTCCAGGTTAGTTAGTTAGTTAGTTAGTTAGTTAGTTAGGATTTTTTTGTTAGATAGAGGTTGAGTAGCAGCCTGAGATGAGTCAGCCTGTGAGTGAGGCAGGAGTTCACCCTAAGACAGGCTAGGAGGCTATAACAAGTAAGGGCTTCTGGAGCCCTCCCACCCTTACAGAAACTCAGAGAAGTTCATGGAACAGGGAGGAGGGTGGAGGTCTAGATCTGCGTATTTGAGGGACCTTGGCCAATCCCCTGGCAGGAGGCTAGGCATGGTAACCAAGGCAACTATTTAATATCACAGAGCCTGAGGAGTGGTGTGCAGTGTTGGGTGGAAGATGGATTGAGGAAGGCTGGAGTGAGGAGCCTGAGAGGGGGCCCCAGGGCTGGTAGCTGGATGGGAGGTTCTCCACTGTACCATTGTCTCTTTGGGAGGACATTCTGAGCAGCAGGGAAGGAACCAACTCAGTAAAAGGCCTGAAGGCAGTCACCAACCCACCAAGCTGACAGGAAAGGACAGTGTGAGCATTTTTTCTCTTACACCACCTGGGCCATACAAGGGGAGAAAGCGGTCAGGTGCAAGACCAAACTAGCTTCTCATTGGGGATTGGCCAAATAGGCAGCTTTTGGGCCCCCTTTCCCAGGGATACTCTCAGTGAAGCTGGGTGAAGAGGAGGAATTATCCAGGGTCTGAGGAGGTACACCGAAGAGGCGTTAGTGCTCCTTAGGGAGAGACTGTTGCTAATCTGCATTTTTGTACATAGTTGACCAGGAGCTTGTCCTCAAGTTCTACAGTTTCTTGGGCATCCCATATACCTCTGACCCCATCCAAGTTCTTAACGCCTAATAAAAACCATAAAACCAAGCTCAAGGACTGTTTACTGCTTGAGACTGCAAATGTGGAAGAAAATTTGTGTTGCCTGGCTGTGCAGAAAATGGGGGACCTAAACAAATTCAGTGGCCCTTACAAGGATAGTTTTACATTTAGATACCTTTACAAAGGCTTTTATTACCATCTCCAAATCTATCTATCTATCTATGTATAGTAGTAGACTGTGGCGGAGAAAACAGTTGGTGTTCTCTAAAGAAAAAAAAAAGTAAAGGTTTTGGTTGGAAACATTCTAAAGAAGTTCTACACTCTTCATTCCATGTTCATCCATCCTGTGCCAGCACCAATCATAATTTGATCTATTCCTTGTAATTAGAGATGAGCGAATCGAACTTGGCGAAGTGGAATTCGTTTCGAATATTAGGAAAAATTCGATTCGCGCCGAATCCGAAAATTAGCAAACTTCGGATGCACGAATCAAATTTTCCCCGATCGGCCGATTTTCATCCCTTCTTTAGCCGGCAAAAAGTGTCCCTGCAGAGAGCTCCGCTATTTCTGACAGTTCTC